TACTCGCTAATTGTCCCTGTGCGCACCTTTCGGATCTAATTGTATTCTGAGCGTCATTGTCATTCGCTAGAATCCTGGTACTGTTCGGCGTCGTTGGATGTTTCCCTTTTCTGCAGAAAAACGAACTCAGAGCCGTCCTTTAGAGCGCAAGGAGCGTAAACGCGAGAAGTCGTGCCCTGTATACGTCTTTCTAAGCTGTCGGTGCCATATATGAAAATTTCGTAGGTGCGTTTTGAATCGAGGTCGGAATTGAAAGCGAATTCGCTTCACGTAAAACGTGGCAATTTCAGCCATTACCTCGTTGCTCTCAATCACGCCTATGTAGCACTTCGAAATCCCGGCAGCACCTGTCACCTCCTGCCTTGGTTTTATTTTTTTTATTCACTTTTAGAATATGTAGGCGAAATTACGTCGTTGTTAATGCCATAGCTAAAGCCTTTTCCTCCGATCCTTGCCGCTATATCGAGTGCAAGAAAGTCGGGCGGCTATGGTTGAACTAACCTTATCTCTCTGCTCAGGATACAGCCTTTTTTTGAGGCAATAGATTAGTATATACGAGGTGTGATCAAAAAATTTTGAGACTGATTTTGTAGCGTAAAAAGAGAGGGCAGCACAGTGAAGCGCGTGCAGCAGTCAAAAGCAGGAACCTTCCTGCGTCATTATGACAAAGGGCGTCGCTCTGTGAACATTTAGAACTGCGCTACACGAGTTTGTTACACAACATGCATGAGCAAAATGGCGACCTCTCCATAGACTGCAAACCAAAGCGAGAGCGAACATCAATATTACGTCAAACTCGGCAAATCTAGAACGGAGACATCTGAAATTATTTAGAAGGCTTATGCCAAAAAGCAGTGAGATGTGCGAGGTGTTTTGAGTCCTAAAACGCTCCTCAAGAATGGCAGAACGTCACTGAAATCAAGGAAAGGTCGGATAAGGTCGCCCTAGCGTTCTTCGCCTTTCAGCGATGTTCTCCCGTTCCCAAAGCGCGAGGGACACTTAAAAAACTTCGCAAAATTCACTGCTTTCTGACACAAGCCTGCTGAATCATTTTAAAGGTCTCTGTTTTATATTTGACGATTTTGACGCAAAATTGATGTTCGCACTCGCTCTGATTTGCAGTGTATGGTGAAATCGCCATTGTGCCCCTGCACCTGGTGCACAAAAACTCGTGTAGCGCACCGCCGAATGTTCACATGTAGAACGACGCCCTTTGGTACAACGACGCACGAAGGTCCCTTCCTTCGACTACTGCGCGCGCATCACTTTGCTGCCCTATCTTTTTACGCAACAAAATCAGTCTCGCAACTCTTTGATCACACCCCGTATGTTTAGCTGATATTACATACTATACTTGACCAAGTTAATGACAGTTATACGAATGTTTAGACATAAATGAACGCAAAACTATAAAGCAATGTGGTGTCGCGTGTTTCCATATACGTTTACTATCGTCGTTCGCTTCGACACCCACAAGGATATGAGTTTGCGCCCGCACACGGAGCCGATGACGCGAGCGAAGATTGCGGCGCTTTCACGAGGTGATGTTCTAATTCACGCGCTGTACGGAGCGCAGCGCATGATTTAGAACATCACTCCCCCCCTCCCCCCCCCCCCCCCCCCTTTTTTTTTTTTAATTGTATAAAGGGTTTGTGAGTTTTCGATGGCACCCCTCGGGCGCTCCTGCCCTTCCGCACCCGAGGCAACCGGCACCCTCATGCGCGCAGAGACGCATCAGCTTCCGAACTCTAACCCGGTGTCGGAGGACAGACGCGAGGAGACAAACGGCCTGGGTCTCCTTGGTGAGCTCGGTCTTCTTCAGAACCCGCGCGCAGCTCGTGCATCAGAGCGCGCGGCGCAGATATAGGACGCGGCGCTGTGTATATATAAAGGGACACCGCGCGCACGCGCAGTTCCCCCTTCATTCATCATACTTGAGTCTCCGCGGAGGCAAACGTTTTCGCGGGGGACTCGCTCCCTCGGCCGGCCCCGCCACCACCGTACTTGGTTTTACCTTAGAGTGAACCGCGGAGGGCGCTAGGGGCCATCCCAGCCAATCAAAACTCTGCGAGTATATCCCGCGACTAAACTCCCGTGGCGTCGCCGCGCCCCTCCCGAAGGTCAAATGACGCTCACGCGACAATGGATTGGCTGAGAGATGACTCGTGTACATCGTTCGCGGTCCATCGTTTTGTAAGGTGAAACGGAGCGTAGCTCGGTTCGCCAGCAACGAGCGTCTCTCGACTCGCCCCCCTGTTTGCAGAGACAGCATCCATCCGAGGTGCACACACGCACGCACTCTTAGGTTTTTTTTGTTTTGTTTTTTTCTCGGGGCTGTATAAGCAAAGGCGGCTCTGGTGTGTGGGCCGGGCCACCAGAAGACGAAACGGCGTTTTATCACGACACGTGACTGCGGCGCGCTTGTCTTGGGGGCCCGAAGGGTTGCTGTTGTTGTTTGAAGTCTCCTACCCCGGTTCGGTTGTTGTGGGGGAGGGGGGGGGGGGGGGGGGGGGGGGGGGGAGGCGTGCATCTGCGCAGGTTTTTAGCGCGATTCCCAGCTGAGCTCAGAGCTGCAGTTGATATAGAGCGGCGGGCCGAACACCTGATTCTATACGTGCGGAACGAATGCTTTGCTCGTTTATTTTTTTGCCAAAAACCTTGTCGCCCCGTGGTGTGGCTGGGGGTTCGTGTATCCCGGTCGGGTGCGGCGCAAGGCCGTGCGAGAGACACGAATCTGATCGCATTTTGCAAGCAGAACTTGCGGAGTGAGTTCCTCCAGGTTATAAATTTAGCATATTGCGAGTGTGTCTTTGTGTGGACGTTCGGCATCAGCAATTTGTGCAGAGTACCGCGACCCTTAACATATTCTTGAGAGGCATTCAGCAATCGCTATCGCTGACAGAACTGTCGCGGGTTAATTATCTGTCAAAATTCTGTTCTAAGTGAGACGATAATGATGATAAAGCTTTCGCCACGATCGAATATTTCTGCTAGGAATGACCTGAGTTGTTTGAAATTATTATTTTAGAAACTCCGCAAAATATAAAAAAAAAAAAGAAAAAAAAAAAAGAAACAGGTATGCTACAACATCGGCGGCCGTGCTGTGCACCTGAGGATCTGCTGTGCAAAGGCACAGCAGATCCTCAGGATGTTTTACATAAATGGCTTTCTAAAATATTTCGTCGTAATTTTATGTTATTGTACCTCCTCGTGTCCCCGCTTTCTGACCGAAACCATTGTCTACAATGAACAGATGACACTAGGTTGATAAAGCGCTGATGAGCTTCACTATATTAAAAAAAAAAATCACTGGAAGCTTTTTAATAACATGTATCAAGAAAGAAAAAAAGCCTAGTATTTGCTTGGAGTCCCACAAGGAGCATTCTTCGAATACGCATGCTCGTCGGTACATATTTTCTTAGACCCTGACTGAGAGATCGTCGGTACATCCGATCTAATCATACAGCATGAAGCGAGGCGGGACACGAACGCGACCTAATAGCCTCAGACTATTCTCTTACTATGCGAGGTCCCAGGTAGTGGGAGAACTTCTCCAAGCTTCACCTAGTGCCACGGCTTGGCAGCCACGGCAGCGATCATACCGAAAAACACCGGGCTATACGGCGCGCAAGTCAAGGAGAGGAGGAAACAATGGGGCGCGATGAGAGGGTGTGATCACGCGTTCGACGAAACTCCGCCCCCGTAGCTGCTCCTCGGTCCGGAGCAGACGACATCTCGGCCACAGATGCGAAGCGATCATTTACCGCGTAAGATATATTTCTTCACAAAAACAAAGAAGCAAACAAACGAAACCGACGGTGCCAAAGGTAATAACCAAGTAAGAAAAACTAAACAGGGTCCCACCTGAGCTAGCTCGACTTCCTTCGCATCAGCAGCAGTCCCTTTTTGGAACCCTTGAAAGCTCATGGGGCTCCCAAGACCCGATCCTCGGCGTCCCTTTGGCGGTGCCGCTGTTTGCCCCGAATGCCCCATCAGATGGCAGCGGCAGGGCCAAGGAAACCCGAATCCCGCGGTTTTGCAGCGCGCAGGTTCGACATCACCCCGCTCAGCGGAAGCCTCTCCGTTGTGGCGCTCTTCAACGCGAGAACCGTGAGAGACGAGCTTCGGCCGCTTTGTTTGCCCCATCATCGAGTCGCCTTCTGCCGACGGAGGAACACACCGCTGCGAACGCGTACAGCCCCGGGTCCACGTGGGACATTATGGCGGCGCTTTTAAGCGCCGCCGCGATTGAGTCTAATCCCCACTACGTTTGTTTTGACCGCCAGTTTCCGCAGCACTTCCCCACGGTTTGTGAGTCTGTTGATTCTGTAAATGCGAGTGGTGGTGGGGGGATGTTTGCTTCTCTCGCTGAGGTCTATACCGGCCTCCTTGTTTTTCTCCTTGCGATATGCGGTTTCTTCCTACGCGTGAGTGCGTGCGGTCTTTTTCTCCCTGCATTCGTGTGAGGGCACACACGTGCGGCTTCTACTCGGTCGTCCATCTTTGAAGACCTGGGTCGAAGGTCCGTGAGCTAGAGTGTGTACTACCGGCCGTGTGTTGTTGTCTCGTGCGAATTGAGTGGTTTTTAAGTCACACACTAAGGGGGGGGGGGGGGGGGGGGGGTCAGCTGAACGGGCGCCGGCTGTCACCGACGGTGTGCACCCTGTTATCAACCATGCATACACGATACAAACACAAGCTCCTGGAAATAGGAAGGAGCAGCCAAGCACGGTTTTCGACGATCACGCCGCAACCTATATACTTCGGATGAGCGGTAGGGTATTTAGACGGATTTTCCTTCTTTCTAAAGTAACCTTCGCCACTAAGCACACATGCGCGACACGCGCTCAGCTCGATGAAATCGCATAATAACGTCTGTAGTTAAGGTCTATGGTGCCACATGAGGTTATGAAGACTGCTGTGAAAGCAATTAATCCGATAACACCTACAGTCCAAACCACGCTAAGCACTTTGCTACGAACAGATGAGGGTGTACTCACAAAGCCGTGCTTGTCGGATATGTTGTTGGTGAGCTTGAGCTTGTGGAAGGACACCACTTTCTGCATCCACTGCTCTCCGGTCGACGGCGAGTCCGGGTGGATGTACATGCGCTTGGGCATCTCCGGATCCGCCTTCCCGGCGATCATCCACCGGCTGTTGTGGAACTTGTAGCGGCAGTCGTCCGCCGCCACGATGTCCATGAGTAAGATGTACTTGGCTTTCTTGTCGAGCCCCGTGACGCGGACCTTGTACGCCGGGAACATCCGCCTGCAAGAGGAACACAGAGTGTTTCTGAGTCTTCAATATCACAGACGGGAGGGGGAAGCGACTTTAACCAACACCCCCTAGAATATATAAAGTCCGTGCACTAGGATTTTGATGTCGTCACACTGATAACGGGCACAGACACAAATCGGACACGAGCGCATACGAGAGCGTTCGACAGCGCCTAGTACAAAATCAGTGCTTTGAAGGACGCTCGCGGTGTCAGGCTAGGGACCCATTTGCTAAGTTGGCGTGACCCTAGTCCGATGACAATTCATAAAGGCAGTGGAGGTCATTTAGAGGCGTTGATTATCATGTGTGGTGTTACTTCAGCTCGCAACACTGTTTATTTCTGCATTATTTGTTGTTTAAATATTGCTTGGTTACAACATTTTTAGTGAATTTATTAGCTCAAAAGGATAAAATCACTTAAGAATGTCTTCTATGTCCGTAGACTAATGCGCCATTCTCCTTATCCACGGCAAGTCAAATCACGCCGATAAGAGGAATGCTTTAAACACAAAATCAACGAAAGCCGCGGCATGCTGCTGCTGAAATAAATAACACAACAATTCAATATGGCTCAGTATGGCCCTCGTCGCTTTTGCGCCAGTAAACCACCAATACTACTACTACTACTACTACAATTCAATACAACACAAGTGAACGATATAGGTTCATCGCGAGACCGTCTTTTGCGAGGGTAACAAATGGCGGCCCTACACTATTCTGAAAAGGTATGCTTTGTGGTAATTCTCAAACATAACACGAGGTTAGGGTACCTTGCGGTATTTCAAGCCCGGGGGGGCTTGGAAACTAATGCACATTTGTTCTGGTCTTTCTTCCTGTACTACCGGAACTTGAAATTATTTATGTCGCAACAATCTCTCCATACGGATTATATAAATAACGCTTCCCATAATTGGAACCATCGACGCTCTTAAAATAATTATCCGCATCCGGATGTTCATCATCCCCGTACAGAGATATTTTATTTTTCACTGTGATTGGAATGACGCTCGCTGTGGATATTTAATTAAAGTTCACGCGCAGAAACGTTCGCGCCGATAGCAAAATAAAAAGAATGAAGGAAAACTACTCCACCCGGTTCCAAACATTATTCCAAATACTTACACTTTACGAACGTCAAGGCGTGACCAGCCCTTAATCATGTCATCATCGCACACTCGGGGACCTTACGAGGTCACATCGTGGTTCCATAAAACAATCGTAAACCAATTATCTAGCGACGAATGCCACTATAAGTAATTTGTCATATGGCAATAGGGAATAGAAAGCATTCAGGCTTTCATTTGTGCAGGGGTGTGGTGTGGGGAAGACATCTTGCTGTTGCTCAGCTCTCTTTCTGTTTCCTCTCTGAAGGTAACGCAGACACTTCACGTGTCTTAAGTTTAAATTTATCATGAATCTTGAAAAGCCCCCCCAAAATGTTAATAGGCATCACCAAGACAAAAATTGTCCCGGCCCGGGCTGAATGCTCAAGGAAGTGTCGCAGACCTCACCATTTACCGATTAGATACCTGGTTCATTGCACTTATAATTAGCACATACCGAAAAGTAGATGCGCTCGGCGACCGCCATCTGATTACGGTGGTTGTAGCGCGATATATTGAGAAAAAAAAAGGCTATTAAGTTGGAATATAATTAAGATAAAAGATACCACTTCTTTAGAAAGGAACACCATATTCAACGAACATGCGACTGTCGACGGATATGTTTATTGGCTTGTAAATGCATTATCAGCTATTTATAAATTTTGATATTTTATCTTTCTATATCTAAGGTCTAGTGACACCCCAAAGTGGCAAAAGAAAATTTAGAAAAATGTACTTTCAAGTGTATAGGACCACGAGGTGTTTCAGTACCGCGCGTGAGCCTAACAACCATAACGCTATATCTCGACAGATGTCCGAGCAGAAAAAACAAACAAACAAACGAAACAGTTTCGAGTACGTAGGACCTTCAGAGCGGCACGCTGCTTGGTGATGCGACATTGAGACTGACATATACCGACTTATTTAAAGGGACCATGAAATGATTTTAAAATCAAATTTCATCCACCGCACGTCGTAAAAGGTGTGAAAAGAAACACAAAAACACAAAAATACGGAGCCAAAAAAAATTCTTTGCTATAGAACTTTTAAAAGAAAACTGGACTCTTTTGCGCCTTCTTCCCTTCGCCTTTTCACTACGATGCATCCGCGGAAACGGGGCACGTCAGCCGAATCCACGTCGCCTATTGGGTTAGAGCCAACGTTGGTTAGAGCCTACCTCACCAGCACCGCGATCGTAAACAATAAATAGCCGGCGAATGTTTCCTAAAAGTTTTGTTAAATAATATTCAGATCCACATTTTGTTGCATAATTAGAGATGTGTGGCGAAAATTGCCAAATTTGATAATGCTGAGAGCCAAGCGCCATCTACCGTGTGGTAAACGAACCAACTACTGCGCGTGCGCAGTAGGGCAGGTCCGAGTTCAGTTACTTGGGTTGCTTGGGTCGCGATGGCCGTTGAACGTTTTTTTCCTTTGATTTCCTTCCTCTCAAAACTCTGACTGACTGAACGTTTATTTTTCTACGTGTTCTTCTCGCGCGTGCCGACTTCAAGCAGCAAGAAAAAAGTACTTAAAACAGACCACGACGAACAAGAACGCTGGCCACGAATATACCTACTCCGACGAAGCGAGCTGCTCAGAATATAGGCCTAGCAGGCACTCCGACTCGGCGCAGCGTTGCTTCGTCGCAAGACCGTCTGCCTACGACCGGCTGGCGTGCCGAATGGAATATGCCCGCGCTACCCTTGTGGACCCTTCCCGCATTATAGTTTGATCGCTGACCTCAATTTTAGATTAAGAGGTGAGGTCAATCTCTTCCCCTTGTTTTCCGAGGCAGTGTTGACGAACACTCGTCGAAAAGGGACTCTCGTCGATTCTATCTTCTTGTTTTGTGTGATATAGAGCTGAAATAAACGCCTAATGGATTACCTTCGTAACACGGTATGTACACTTTGTTATTGGTATGCCGTTTTTATTCTGACAGACTCCACGTCACTGTCGAGCTATAACAGTTCATGGGAGGTATACGTGCAATGCCGGTCCAACCTTTCTTTGCCGAGTGTCGCGTCAGTATCGAGTTGCAATTGTAAAAGATCGGTCCCGAAGCGCTTACCAACAGCGCGAATACAGCACTTCCATCAAACGCGCGCGTCCGCTCCGAGTGTGAACAGGTATTTACGTGGCTCTTGCTGACACTCGTAGTTCAAACGTATCTTTTTTAACGTCGGCTCGCTCCTGCATCTTCGAGGCCGCGAAAAACGCCGCGGCAATTTGTTTCCATCTACGTCGCTTTGCAAACGACTGACACGGACCGCCTTCTACCAACAATGACAGTTGGGTTGACTTCTGGAGTCTTCACCGGAAGACTCGCTGCACTTCCCAACAGGCATACCGGCGTATGGGACTAGTCTCATGCTGTCGCTGTAGCGCAACATATCTCGTTGAATTTCGCTCAGCTGCGATGCGGCGAAGAGAGGCGCCGATTCAGAAAATACGTCGGTGACATCCGCGCAGTAAAACCTACCGGCGCACCCCAACTCGTCGCCGCTAACGCTCCCATTTTCCTACTGCCGAGAGAACTTCCGGTTCCGGAAACAGCGTACGTCACGGCTTGTTTTGCGGTCAGTTGGAGAGAATGAAAAAGTCGATATTTCATTAATTTTTTGCGCAGAAGTTAATAAACCGAGACGAAAACGGATGCCTGTTCGGCATTGAGTGAACATTGACGGTTTAATGTAAAAGTTATCTGGAAAAAGTAAAAAAATCATTTCATGGTCCCTTTAAGGTCGCAATAGAGGCCGCTCCCAAGAAACATATCGAACCACTTCTCCGTTTACACAGTGCATTCACCATGGAAGGCAACGCATCGTCGGTAGCGCAACACACGTTCATCAGCAGCATGTCTACCCCTAGTCACTTATAGTCACTGGCAGGATGAAAACGGCAGCGAGGAGTTTCGGTAGTCCCGCCTCTAGCGAAAGCTTTCTCGCTGCGAATAGCGGTTCCGCGTCTCGCGGCCGCCTTGGACGTGCACACGCGCAGCCACAGCATGGCCGGGAAGTAACGCACGCGGCGCGCTGGGGGCCAGGAACTCGAAAGAGACTCCCATAGCCTACTCGTCCCGCCAGTGAACATAAGGGCACGTGAGCCGTACAGCCGATGACGATATATACACAAAGAGAGCGAGCAAACTCGCGGTGGGCAAATTGCCAGATCGCTCAGAGTCATCATCCCCTCCCTCCCCCTTCGTGCGAAGCCAGACGCAGCCCACATTGACGACTTCATTCGTGTACACTCATTAAAGCGAAAGAGACATCGCGGCGCATCACGAGCCAATGATATCGAGAGTATAATTGCCCCGCGGGAAAGGGGGGGAAGAACGCCCAGAATAAACGCAAAGCAAAGCTTAGCAGCGCCACGCCAGAACGAGAGCTTGTCAGGCATCTCAAACATTACCCCGCGAGTCCAACCGACCACCGAAGCAGTAGCAGCAGCGGCAGCAGCAGCAACAACGGCAGCGGGAAACGGGCGAAGCGCTATTTTGAAAGAGAGTTTTGCTTTGTGCTGTCGGCGGGAACGCCAGCATGCACGGAGGCGCGCGCGGTGGCCGAAGAGCGGGCAGTCGTGTCCGAGCGTTGATGACTCTCACATGGACTGTCGACACATCGACGGAGGATCGTGTGGGGCCGTCCCACGTATATCTCTCGCGCTCCGCCGAGCGGTGGTGCGCGGCTACCGTGGTTTGAGCGCCGACGTGAACGGGAGACCAAGCACGACTCGGCTGCAGCGTTCAATTAAGGAGTAGGGCTACGCGCGCAGCGACACAGAACGCTGCGGCCGGGCATGCGAGGAGGAGGAGGGAGGGCGATCAATTGATGCTCCCACAAACGCTTTGAGGATAAAAAGGCGTCGAATGAAACGAACAGA